GCCTGGAGTCTTTTAAGTATAAGTAACACGCACCCAGTAATAAGCTGTCGGTTGTTTTTTTGCTGCCTGCAAAGAAACATAAACACAGCGCTCATTTCTGGCAGGTTTTTACTGTCAGAGTTTCTCCTATTATATTTATCTTACAATTTGCCAGGGGGTGAAGTTATTAAGTTTTAGCAGCAGCCATCGATCAAGTTCACAAGTTAACACGATAAAGGCTCTGTGCCGCTCCGATCCGGGAAAATGATGATCCTCACTCGGTAATTAACTAAATGAGAAAGTTAAATCTTACTTGAGAGCTGGGAGAGATGAAAGAGAGGTGTTTGTCAGTTTCTCAGTGGAAATTAGAAGCAGTTTTCTGCAATTCCCTAAGCTGCTGCTCTGTCATATTTTACATAAGCACTGGGAAAACGTCTTGTAATTAGTGCTGTCATGGAGGATTTTTTTTGCTGAAGGATGTTGGAATAATTCATTAGATTATCAAGAAAGGCTTGTGTCCTGAAATGATTAGCACAGTGAAATTTAAACCATTAACGATAACAAGTTTAGAGCTTGCTGCAGTGCAGAGGCACCCGGGGTATGTCTGTGCCTATTTCAATCATTTCTTATAATTAAACATTATGTCCTCTTTTTTCCTCCCCTTCACTAAAACCCATCCAAAAATCCTGTTAAGGTGGCTCTGTCTAGATCAGTGACTTCACCACAACTGGCCGTGCAAGCGGTTAGAGGTGAAATGCTGCAGTTTCAATTAAGTAGTAGATCTCTCCATGTCAGAACCTGTAGTCCCAGGGAGTCCAGGAAGGAGGGGAGAAGCCCAGTGTGACCTGTTGGTACTGGCATGTTGGAGGGAAGTATCTTCCTTTTGTCTAAGAAAAACTGAAAAATTTGCAGTGGTGGTCCAAGTTCTCAGTCTTTTTAGAGCTCCAGTATGAAGATGTTTTGAAGGTTCAGAAGGTTCCAAACCTCGCTGAGACCATTGAAGCCACACTCAATAATCTAAGAAACAGCTTTTCTTTGGTTTTGACTTTAAGAGATGTCTTCTTACCTTAGGAAACATATAATCTGAGTTCATCTACCCTGTGGAAAGTGCCTTAACAAAAGTCCTCTGCAAAGATGACAGGACATGGTGTTTTTTAAAAAAAATTACATAGAAATTGTGACCACTCATATGGGTGGAGAAACAGTATACCTGTACCAGAATCAGAGAACTGTTCTTCTGTTTGTTTTTATTGTGCCTTAGGAGGTTTCTTGGACCCCTGTACTGAAAAAAACCCAAAAGTCATATATGGGGTAATGCTGTGATATACCATGGCTGTTTTATTTTATTTGCAGAGTACTAGATTTATCCAGGCTTAATTTATCTGTGGTGAAATACTGCACCTTCCTATAGATGCAAGCCATTATTTAGATTAAAGCCCTTTCATATATTAGACGTCTTCTACTTCACTGGGCATACAAATGTGCTTTGTGTTAAATGTAGCCATTTGGAGAAATGGTCTTGTAATTACGGACTGCAATGGAGCATAGGACGTAGCTCCCTGAGCTAGTACCAACCTGAGGCACGCAGTCCCCCGGGTTTCCTGGCGCAGCTTACTAGCTCTGGCACACCATTGTAGGAGGACGCCTCTGCTGTTCCTACAAATGAGGAGTTGTGCCTAGAGCCAGCTTGAGCACCTCTCAGCCCACACTTACAGGGGATTTTGAACAGAGAACCGGAAAAGCTTTATCTGTTCCGAGTAGTTTGCTCTGTTACACCCAAACTTCCTCCCAGGTGATGGACTACCAGTGCTTATTCTTCTTTGCCACTTTTGGAAGTGAAGCTTATAAAAAAGCATGACCCTAAACAGTGTGTTTGGATGGATATTCACCCTAACTGTGTGGATGGCATGTGGGACAGTTCTTTCTTTTTCAGATGAGGCCCAGCTATTGTACCAGGAGAGGGAAGAAGCTGGAGATGATAATGTGTTCCAGGCAATAGTTGCTGTTACTGTTCTGAGGTAGTTTGTAATGAACTTGAGGCAGTTGATCAGAATAATTGAGTCACCAGGGTTTCTCAGGAAGCCAAATCGATCCTGTTACTTAAAGTAACTGCCCTCTCCCCCATCTCTTTAATAATACAGATGCTTGATGTTGTTGTTTTTTTGCCCTTTTTTAATAACGGATCTTTTTCACTGAACCCCCAGTGAATTTTCAGTAATCTTCAAATGAAAATTATGGAATTTTGTTCTGAACTCTAGCTACAGGTTGTCTGGGAGAGACATTTGAGCATGTATTGTGATTGAGTGATTTGGGAGCCCTGTGAGTTCTTCTGCTTCTGCCCTGCACAACTGATGTGTTTGTGGCTTGCCCTGTCCTCCTGGTCCCTTTCTTGTGTAGACCATAGGACCTGCTGGACACACCATAGCTACCTCTGGGCTTGTCCTCGATTTTTGATGAGAAGCCAGAGCAGGCAAGGGTGCAAACCAGGTCTCAAGTTGACTTTGTCAGAATGCAGCTAAAAGTATTTGCATGTCCACTAGTTTGGACATAAACACAGTAACATTTTTAGTGTGTTTTTTAGTAGAATCTCTACATAACCCTGAAACCCTGACTTCCAGAGCTGTTACAGGTGTTGCTCAATGGACTCCTCCATTTACTCATTATTCCTACCCAGGAGGCTTGTATGCATTTGGGATCCAGGCAGAATGGGTTGTTTTGTCCCATCTAAGCCATCTGTCTGTACACACATAAGCCATTACTTGTTTTTGCATATGTTGCATCTTCTGTTTGATACCCCAAACCAATGTTTTTTTAGAGGTAACTGGGGAGCTGAAGGCTGCTGGGAGAAGAGTGCTCAGGAGGCAAGGAAAGGCTAGAATCTGGTGTCACCCTGTTAAAGGAGTTGCCCCCTTTGTGGTCTTGGCACATCAGCTGTCTACTCCACTCTAGCTCAGCATATTGGTCAGACTTCACAGTCTTTCACATTAAAAAGACAGAGCTATAGGTTTTTAAAAAATGCTTTGTAGAGAGAACCTGTTGTGAGCTGCACAGCAAATAAAATGAGAAATTAAGTGAGATCAAGCTTGTATAATACAAAACCTCTCCACTGTCTTAATCCAGCATTTTTACAGGGGTGTCTGTTATGCAGGCAGTTTAACTGCAGCAAAAATGACCAAAATCCCTTAAGAACGATGTTCAGTGCAGTCCATTGATGATAATTTTTTTTTTGCCAGACAATGGCCTACTGTGGACTTTGCTAGGAAAAGTCCCAGCCTTTCACGCCTTCATGACCTGTGACTGTGGACTTCATGCCCACAGTCCCTTGAGAGATTTCTCTCTATAAAACATTAACCTGAGAGAGTGTGTTTCTTTCCTTCTGCCCAAAAACTTGGTCTGCAACTCACCTGTCAGTGCTGTCCCTGTGGTGACCAAACGGAAGCATCACTCAATCATAGCCCTTGTCTTGCAAGATCTTACTGGGCACATACAGAAATTTGCAGGGAGGAGTGGAGGTAAAAGTAAGGTTGAAAACACTGAACTGCAGAGTTGAGCACTGATGATGTGATTTCCATGTTCTGTGTTGTCAAACAAACTTAAGGCAAACCATAATTCAGAAGTAGCAGAAACTTGTTAAATTGCTTGTTTAAAAAGACAGCTAATTACTGTCTATTTCTACACTCTGTCCAGCTCTGCTGGAAGTGCTGAAAAAGGGTATTCAATTGGATTTTGTCTAGAAAATGAAACATAAATGGTGATTAGTTGAATAGATTTTCCAAAAAGCTGTTTGAGTTGGGGTGCTATCAAAATACAGGAATTATTTACTCCTGAGAAATGAGAAATTCCTGCATTCTAAATCCAGTTTTAGTAACTAGAATTTGTGGTCTCTAAATAACCCACTGTTTTGGCACTTGCTGAAAGAAGGCTGCTTTGCTGTTTTTTTCTTTTCCTGTAAAATCAGCTAATCCATGCATTAATTTTAGCTCATTAGGTACCTTTGCAGAGAGATTTAGGTAATAATTTTTTCCCTAAAAGTTAATAAAGTCTCCTGATGAGGTTGATGTCTGGAATTATCATCATGAAACAGAAATATGGCACCTCTTTGTCAATGTTTTATATATTCTGATATCTGTAATTTGTTTCTAATTATCTTATAATTAATAGAGAACCTGTAAGAGTGTTTTGTAAATAAAGATGATGTAATAATACTGACTATTACTGTAAGCTCTCTGGTGTTAAACCATTGCAATGAAAGAGAGAAAATCACATTTTCAGCTTTAATGCAAACTATTTTACCAGTATGGGAAAAAAATAAATTTCCAGCAGACCGTTAATCTTACTTGGACAAAGAATATCCTTGCAATGTAAAATGTGCACTTTTATTCCAGTGAAAGTGTTTAGAAAGCAGAAATGGTATCTTGCTATCAAGTAGTAAATTGAAATGTCTGTGTTTTGTTTTATCCCTGAAACTCTTCTTTGAGCTGAGTTCTTCTGACAAGATATTAATAGTGCTCAGGACGTTGAAAATCTTTTATTCCATGAAAGATATACCAAATATTAAGGTGTGGTTTAGCTGGCTTTGCTCTCAAGGTATAATTTTATACTCAAAAGAAATAATAGTTTTTGTCTCATCCATTTTATGCATTCCCTGTGAATTTGAGCAGAAGTCCATTCTTTAGAAAAGCAACCAAAATACGAATGGAGTTTTCTCCTGGTTCATTGAAGTAACTGGTAACTGTAGATTAAGAGTCCAAAGGCATTTTCCTGTTGCAAGATGTAAATAAAACTGTATTTATGCTAAATTGTCACTGAAGGTTTCCCATCTAACCAGAGTCCTTTGTGTGAATCTCTGGCTTGAACCAGTGCGATGTCCTGCAAGGGTTGCAGCTGATGGTGGCTGCACTCCCACTGACAGCACCAAATGTGCTTTTGTCCTTCTGCTTTTTCCCTCAAAAAAATAATAAAATCACGTGAGCTTCTTTTCATGTGTATGATTTGGGTTTTTATCTCCTTTCTGTTTACAGACAAAACTTGCCAATGGCACTTCCAGTATGATTGTGCCCAAGCAAAGAAAACTGTCTGCGAGCTATGAGAAGGAGAAGGAACTCTGTGTCAAGTATTTTGAACAGTGGTCCGAGTCTGACCAGGTGGAGTTTGTGGAGCACCTCATCTCCCAGATGTGTCACTACCAGCATGGACACATAAACTCATACCTCAAACCCATGTTACAGCGGGACTTCATCACTGCACTGCCAGGTATTTCTGCAGCAGAAGGAGCTTGATCCTCCATCTGGTCTTTCAGAAAACTGTTCCACTCTGGCCTACCCTGCTGGAGAGTTCTCTTCTAGGGTCAGTTTGCAAACCAAATTATAGCTTTTGAATGAAAAACTCTATACAGGTATGAAATACAGTAATATTTTACTTTGTATTCCTGTCATCTCTCAAGGCACATTCTAATATCTAATTTGGTTAGGAGTACATGATTGCTCAGAGATGTGTGATAAGGATAGTCATGTCAAGCTAGAGGGCAGGTAGTTGTACTCACCTGCCCACAACAATGCACGAATAACACATTTTTTAAAAATTAAAACTACTACTCTTTCTGGTTGCTCAGCTGAGGGTTTCCTTTTTCTTACTTAGATTTTTTTTCTCTCTCTCTCCTAGTAAAATACCTTCTTGAAGCCATGACTTTGATTAAATGTTTATTGCTAATAGAAAATGGAGGACATAAGATCAAAGGATAGAAGTGTTCTGGTTTTTGCATCTGTGTAGTGCTTTCCATTGAGAATATTTTCCCTGCTGTTCTCAGATGTTGCACTGGCGTATCTCACAGAATGCACGCCTGAAGTAGTGTATGTGCAGTTATATGTTGGCCTTGTCTTATAGACAGGAAGCTGAGGCTGTGGGAGATAAAATACATACAGCAATAGAGTTTCTGGCCCAGATTGAAATTCCTGGCTCTTTGGTCTTTTTTTTCAGATCGTACCTCTGCAGATAGATAGATAATAGATTATCATTCCAGTGGCATAGGTTCTTAGTTTGATACAGACCTGAGCAAATACCACATATGTTGTGTATAAATAGTTAGCTGAAGAGTTTCTTGCCAAAAACTTCTCTGAATATCTTTGGAGAACTGCTGGTCTCCAACAATTTCTTCAATCCAGTAATTTGAACATTCTTCAGAAGGGGTTTCTTGACGTGAAATTTCAGTCTAGGGTTAAAAGATAGAAAAAGCACATCTAACTGTAAATTGTACAAAGCATAGAGGCACTGAAGGAGTTTTGCTATGAAATTAAACACTTATACTCACTGGATTTTTAAGCTCATTGTGCCCAGTAATCAAATGGCTGTTGTAGCATTAAAAAAAAAATCTTAGCTATGCTAAGTACCTACTTTATGTTAGTTTTTAGTAATCCAGTGGCAATAATCTCATGTACTTAGTGCAGCATTATAACTTGTGGAACTGTTCTGTTTCAGAAAAGCAGGGAATATTTTGAAAGTGCATTGGTTTCCCTACTTTTAAAGAGGAAGTATACACATAGCTACATACACAATTTTACGAGATCTTTCTCCACAAAACTCCATCAGAGCAAGCCAACATATGTCATTTGCATTTGTTTAATTCATCCTACAAGCCTTTTAATGAAAATTTTGGGAAAGTGTTGTAAATATTTTCAGAGGCATTCAAAATTTCTTAGCCATATCACCTTTGTTAGTGGTCTTTCACAGTTACTCTGGAAGCTGCTAATATTACTATCTCAGAATGCAGAACAGATCTCAGAAGGCAGCTATTCTGTGAGTATTTGAATAGTTGTGTGAACTATGTGCTTAAATAATGGATGTGCATCAATTTGCATATTTGCAAAGTGCTAATGTCCTAGTGAATATAGCTTTAAGGGAGAAAATTTGGCAAGGAATTATATTGGCACAGACTCTGCAGTTCATGCAGGATGTCCTGAATATAGGCAGCTTTCTAATGAGGGGAATGGAAAAGAGAAAGGTAAGAAACTGCATAAGAAAGAGCAATGAACCTACAATTTTAAATGAAATCACATAATGATAAAAAACCCCACAGTTTTAGTATTTTTTAGCTTTCTGAAATTCTCAAGTGTTCAGTATTCTGATTTCAGTTTTACTCCTTAATTCTCTTGCTCTCCTCCTCGAGTAAGTATAACAGTAAAACTGCTTCAAAATCAGGAGGTATCTTATCTGTGTCCTCCTGTCACTATCCCAAAGACTGATTAGAATTAAAGGTAGTTTTAGATCTTGAGCATGTTTAGAGTAAAAGTAGCTCGGATTATTTTCCCAGTACTTTGGACAGAATTAAGGTTGTTTGAAAAATACAGCTTAACTGTGTACTTAACAAACTTTGTTTTGTTTCTGAAAAAAAAGTTCTCTGCTTAGCATTTCCAAGCTGTTTAACATTTTTTATGAGGAAAGTCATTTTTATAAGGGTTTCATGTGTGAAATAACTGAAACATTCTTGCTGTTGTGGAGGGCTGAATGGCTAATCGTGTTTCACATCAATTTAGTAAAAACTTCTGTGAGCAGAGATTTCTCTTTCTTAAGGAAGTCATGCTTTGTTAGGTGTATGTCTCAGAGGGTTGTGCTGTTCCTAAGAAACCAGACAATAAAATTGAATTTGCAGCCAGGCCAAATCCTCTGCCCATCCACTTATCATAAATGTGAAGAGGAGAGGCCAAAACATTAGTGTTCCTTCTCTGGGAAGGGTCTAGGATCAGCAGCAAATGATGACTAATGTTCATGGAAGTTGTTGCTACACTTCAAGATCTAAATGCAACTACTGATGGTCCAGAAAGGGCAGGTGGGTCAGAGGCAGACTTAGGGTGAAGATTACTGTGCCTTGCTTGTGCAGCATAGCCCTGCTTCCTAAAGCCACTGGCTGTTCTGCATATAAAGTAATGCCTTGCTGTGATGCTGCTGACATAAATCCAGCAATACTAATACTACACAGGCAGGCATTGTAAATGTCCAGGTGGGTCTGCAGAGGTCTGTAGGGCCCATTGGAAGCAACACAGACTGGGAAAGCAGATATGACATTTTCACCCAGTAGAGCTCAGGGCTGCATGTGTCAAGGTAGGGAAGCTGGGGAACGTGATGTCCATGTTTGCCCTACTGAAGTACAGAATTCCTGCAAATTCCTGCTCAGGTTCACTAAAACATTGTATCTCTCTTCCCACAAATTGCTACCATATCAATCTAAATTTACAGGCACTCTTCTGTTGTTTGTTTTTTTAAAAGAATTTTTTGTCATGGCTGTATATATCTTTTCAGATTAAATACATAATAAAAGTTGCTGATGCTTTTATTTCTCCAGGTTGACATCTAATTTTGCATCTATAAAGATAAGAAATGTCAGACCTCTTTCTGCACTCTCTGGTTGTGCATGATATCATTCACATGCTTTTTCTACATATGAATAGAATCATAAAACTCTGGGCTGCATGTCTCACCCAAAGTATATTACCAATTTTGGATGTCTGAAAGGAGCAAGAGGAGGCATGCTGAATTTTCTCAGTTTCATGCATTGGAAGATAATACTGTGATCTTTCAATTTAAAAAACCCAGTGGTTAGGCCTTTTGTGTCTCATGAACTTTAATCAGAATCAGCTGATTGCACCAAATTTGGGTTTGCAGAAGTATGGACATGTGACTGTAAAAATGCACTTATTGCTTTCGCTGTCACAAGGAAGGGCCTCGTCTTTGAGGCTGTTGTTTTAAAGGCAAGAAAAGATGTATTTAACTCTGTCCCAAATGTGAACAAGGAGGAAGATGCATGTAATACCAATCTGCCGTGCCTCTTTTTTGGTTGGTTTGAACATTATGCCTGAGGGATGATGGGGTATAAACTGCAACTTTCACAAAACCTCTAAAATTTGACCTGTGAAGTGAGATAATCTCTTAATGATGTGTCTCACTTGTGAATTAAACAGCCTCCAAGAGAAGCTGTATTTATGCAGCATCTCATTTAAAAGGCATCTTATTTTCCTGAAGTCTTGCTTGTGATTAAATTTGAGTGCATAAGGGCACATTTTTACTGAATACATCCATCCAGTTAAGAAACGTTGCATAACCTCCCTGGCCCCCAGCTACACAGACGTTACATTGGGCTGCTCAGTGCTAACCGGGCAAGTGCTTTACATTTTGCTCCAATCATGATGAAACAAAGCCAGTCCTGGTATTCACACTGGAAAATATTTGTGAAGTATACCATTTTGATGCATATTTTTCCTCCACCCACTAAAATAAATGAAGCTAGGAAACCTGCTTCACTTTCTCTTTACACAGCTTCTCCTTCCGTCTCAAGTTCTCTGTGCATCTGCATATCTTTCCCTCCCCCATGTCTAAAGGTACCACTACCCTTCAGGGCACACATTGGGAATATATATTTTTTTCTTCATTACGTTTAAAAGCTACTGCTTTAGCAAAAACAGCTTTTGAGCCGTTGGAACATGAGAACAGCTGTAGCAGTGAGATGAGAAATGGTCCTAATATAGAGAGATTTTGGGGGCTGCGTTGCTGAGTTGGAAATGCCATCCATAGAATATCCCCCTAGTGCTAAAACCCATCGAAATAGATTGGAATGACTTCTTGGATTCTTTATTATTTTTAATGACTTGTTGTGTTATATCCAAAGGAAGTTGGAGAACACTGTTCACTCCTGAACTTAGCTGCAAATGTTCTTCTATGCATTTGATCCTGCACATGGAAGAGGAGATGGAAAGAGAGGGTGTTTTTGTATTAGCAAGGGGAGTTGTTTTATACTCTCTATTCTCCCCAGCAAATAATTATTTTTCTTTCTCCACCAGCTCGGGGATTGGATCACATTGCTGAGAACATTCTGTCATACCTGGATGCCAAATCATTGTGTGCTGCTGAGCTGGTGTGCAAGGAGTGGTACCGGGTGACATCGGACGGCATGCTGTGGAAGAAGCTCATCGAGAGAATGGTCAGGACAGACTCCCTGTGGAGGGGTTTGTCAGAGAGGAGAGGATGGTGAGGAAACTGCATTTTCACCTGTTTTGCCGCCATTCAGGACAGTAGGTGATCTGTGTTTCAAACCATGTTTGAAGAAGGATATTTAGCACCCTGGAAGATGGTGTTGGTTCCAAAACTGACAGTTGCTTAGGGCATCATTTGGCTATGCAGGCAATGGGAGGGCTTTCTCCTCACTTTCCTCCTTTGATCATGCTCTTGTCCCACTGTGACAAGTGAGATATACAGACTGAGACTTTTACACCCAGCTGTCATTTGATTCAAATTAAGAAGCTATGTATGCCCCAGGGGAACACTAAACTAGTCAGCAGTTCAGAGCAGAAGAGCTTTTTTAGGGGTGGCAGTGGAGCTGCATTTGCTATGAATTAGTTGTTTCCTGATAGGTCTGTTTGTTTTCCTCAGCAGATTTTCACTATTAGATATCTGTTTAATTTTCAAACTGGAAGCTGAGAGTAGGTACCACGGAGAATAGGAGACTTTAGAAATGCAGATAGATTAGTTAATAATAATCTGGAATAGCCTTACTACAATGTGGGTCTCACTCAAGTTTGAAGCTGCTCTGTTAACATTTCATTAGAACTTTCCCTCTCAGGGGTACGTCCTTTAATACATAATTTTCGTTTCCAAGGGTGTCCCTAGGATGTTGGCAGAAAGGAAGCTGGGTATGAATATTTCATAAACAAGATAAAAGTGACAGCTCAGGCATTTTGGTTGCTATTAAAAAGAAAAAGATACAGAGTTGCAAACAAAGACTCCTGTTTTATGGTTAATTTTGTTATACTGTTTGTCTCAGGAAGTAAGGGCAAGTAAATCAAGATTATGAAACATCCTTTAAAAATAAATACTATTTTGATCTTCTTCCAACAGTGTAATGGCTATAAAGAGTGTAAAATAAACACAAGCATGGCAGTGGTAACTTTTGCATTCCTTTTAGTGCCTTATTCTCTCCGGGACTTCTATTTTTGCTCTGTGTTGTTGAGGTCATCATAAGTCCGAAGAGGACTTAGAGAAGTTATGTAGTCCCTCCTGTTTCCCAAAGGCAGAGCCTTGTTTCTCTTATGTTTGTGTAACTTGTTCTTAAAAAACTTTCACTGATGGAGATTTCCTAGGTCTCACCTAGGCAAGGAGTTCCACTGTTTCACTAACTTTAGTGTTAGAAAGATTTTCCTAAAATCTAGACTATCTTCCCAGCTAGAGTTCAGCATGTTATATTTATCCCACATAGGCACACAGCAAAGTTTCTCATTCTCCTATTTGCAGTGATCTTTTCCATGTTGGAAGATGATCGTGTTTCCTACATTTTTGGATTTGCCAACCAACCAAGCAACCATAATCCTGTGTTGAATTGTCCTCTTGCCATTCTTGTTTTTCTCTGTTTAGACCCTCCCCAGTTAATCTACTTCATTTTTGGAGGATGGTGTAATCAGCTGGGTGTCTTACTTCTGCTGAGGCATCGCCAGAGTTTGGTGCTGTGAGAGGCATGGCTTTGCATGCCAAATGGAGGACACTCCGTTTCAGACTTTCCAGTGGGACATGTGTACTTTTTTTTAATGGTGGTATAATACTATGCACTCCCTGTTCTATTATTTTTCATTAATTAAAATGCTCAATAATGACACATCTAGGACAGACTCCATGCAAGATCCCAGTTGCTGTCCTGTTTCACAGTGCATCATTGAGAAGTTGTGCTTTCCAGCCATTTGTGTGTCTACCCATGAGCTCTTCCAAGACCAAACTTCCGTTGCTAAGTCACGAGAATAGCTCATGAGAAGAAATTAGGTCAGTCTGACATGGTGTGTTCTGGATTGATCAGTGTTGCCTGTTGTTTGTCACAGTCACTTTCTAGGCACTCATCTGATTGACTGTGTGCTCTTGAACTTCTGAGCCATCAAAGCTGTGTTGGACAGTCCATCATTTCCTTGGTGAAACTTACTCCCTTTTTTTTAAATGCAAGAACTACATTTGTCTTTTTCCTGTTCTGTGGAGCTTTACTTATTCTCCACATCTTGTCAGAGATCATAGGTGATAGTTCTCAAGTTACTCCTTCCAGATTTTAGAAATAATATTAACACTGATTACATCACACAGGCCCATGACATTTCTTAAAGAGCATTTGGAAAATCCTACTTGTCATCTCAAAGGACAGTCACACCCTCTTACTCTCTTAATGTACCTCTTTGTCAGATTTACATTACGTCCCATTATGTTGCTTTGACACAACCGGAGCAAGTCATGCCTTTTCAGATTGCCTTCTGGCTAGCTCTGGAAGATGTAACTGCAGGCATGGTGGGGTGGTTAAGAGACACAGACAAGAAATACCCCATGTAATTGCATCTCTGTCATATAGAGCTTTATAGCCTGTAATCAACACTAACTCTGTGCATGACACAAAGAGGTGACTAACTGGACAATTTGGACTGATAGATAACTGGTGTTATTTGCTTACAGCTCCTTACTTTGCACACGGGCTGCCTGATTTCAGCATTTGCAGCGTGTGGTTTACAACAGAACCCCCCAGTTCCACAACACAGTAGCCTTCACTGACAGTTTATTATGGAGTAGTAAGGTTTACACAGATGCAGAGAAATATAAAACAGAAGTCCAAAATTTGGGCATGATTGTGTCCATCTGAATACTTGATTGAATTGGCCAGTTATCAAAACCTGCAAACAATAGTTCCTTTTATCCCAGACCCACAGCCCAGTGGTCACTGGGTTGCCTTCAGAATTGCAAGCAATCCTTTAGATGTACTGTAAACAACTGACTCTACATGGAGCAAGGCAGGACTTGTGGGCAGCAACAAGACTTTGTCTTAGGTCAGCCAGTAAAGTTGGAAACAATAGACATGTATACAGGCACATAGGCCTGTATACAGATTGTTGTAGAGCTACCCTATCTTCCAGGATGTGTCCTAGGTATTCTGTGTATCTTCAAAGCATTTTTTATCTCCCTGGGCCAATAATTTTCTTGTGTGCACTTCCCAGTGCGTACTGTATTTGAAGAATCAAGTTATTGCTCTGGCCAAAGTGGAAAGCACCTTTCACTCAATGCATACTTAAATTACTTTATTTAAAGAACTATCAAAAGTTGTTTTATTGGGGATTTGTTATTTTGTTTGTTCAGTCCTATAGTTTGCTACCACCCTATACTGAGTTCATTGTTAAGATTTCCCTAGTTCTGGTACATCAAGGCAGCTAATGTACAGTCTTTCACATGAGTTTCAAGATATACTGTATGGAAAAGACAAGAAAGAAATGTGCAAGGAAGCATTGAGCAATTAATTACTCCATAATGGAGCAAGGGAGGGAGAAGTGGAGAGCTGGCCCAGTGTAAACTCTGTTCCTCTGATGCCAGGATTACACTCAGAGGCATTTGTGCCTCTCTCCATTTTGTGAGGCATGTTGCCAGGCAGAACAGCAGTTACTACGCCCATGGTGGGGTTTACTAGCTTCCACACCGTGTTTGGTGGCTTCTTAACTTCAGGATGAGGAATTAAAGTTTTTTACACAGCAGGTAGTGATTGTCGTTTACAGAAGTTTTTTTTGTGCAAAAACCTAGCTTGGGATATGAATATTCCAAATCAGGGTTGAAATGAGAGAGGCACCACAGATGAAGTGTTGCTTGTCAAAATACAGTAGTAGCAGTAAAATGTCCATGTACCAAAACTGATACTGCTGATGCTAGTGCAGATAAAACTAACCTTGAATGCATAGTGAGTTTGAAGGCTCCTTGGCTTCTCTCATTTTCTTTGTACACTCTGTTTTAAATGTGAGCTCTGATATGAGCATGTGTATTGTGGTCATGAGCCATTCTCACCTCCTGTTGAGTTGAATGGACTAATGTCCATAACAGATAATATATTTTCCTTCCCTGAGTGACTATGCACACATTTTTCATGAGCATTTCAGTGTCAAAATGAAATGCGGATATGTTGCAGGGCAAACAAGCACGGAACCACCCCATCTTACTGAGTAAATGAAGTTCAAATGTGAATCTGTATGTGCTTTTCAACAGTGGTTACCCATTTGTAAAATGCCAGGAGGATCTTTCTTCAAAGTGCTGAAACATTATTTGTGCTTAATAGGAATGTTCTTTGTCTTCCAGGGGACAATATCTATTTAAAAATAAAACTCCTGATGGGATTGCACCACCCAACTCCTTCTACAGAGCACTTTACCCCAAAATTATACAGGATATAGAGGTAAGGTAACAGCTTCCAGATATGGTGGTGTTTGGTTGTTGTTTTTTTTAAATCTCCCTGATTTATTCATGATGCTGAAATTGTGACAATATTTTGTTCTAATGAACTATTTCATGAAATCTGATGTGTCTTGTCCAAAATTTAGATCCAGGACAGCTATTTCCGGTCCTGGGCCTTAGACAGAGGATGAGTTGGATTGTTCAGTGAGCTGTTTGCAGACAGAGTCTCTACAACTTGCACATCAGATGTTACAGCAGCACTATAGTGTTTTGATTTTCTTAGTTCCACAGTACTTTGCTCCACCCAGTGCAGTTGAGAACTAAGATGTTATGGGAAGAAATTCCCATATGGCAAGTGAGCCAGGGAGAAAGTGCACTGGGGAAGACTGCAGTCCTGGGACCCAGGGAAACAGGGAGCAGCTGAGCATCGTTGCCTTGTACCTAGTGTGAGCAAAATGCCATGTTCTGGTAGTTTCCTAATGGCAAAAGCAGTGCTCAGGCACTGTTGTAATAAGTCTATACAAACACTTGGCTAGAGCTCAACTCAGACTTTGTCTTCAGCTGTTTAGTCGTCGAGTCACGGGGGTGTGGGGTTAAAGGTTAGAGACAGAAAAAAATCTTTTAGGTCACTTTTCCTTCCCCATTCCACATAATCACTGAATTTTTCTGACTGGAAAAGATCTTTCAGATCTTTGAGTCCAACCATTAACCTAACTCTACCGAGTCCAGTGCTAAACCATATCCCTAAGGACAATTATGTCATTCTTTGGGCCTATTTGCAGGAAAAAGTGTGAAGAAAGGTGTCTGCTGTCCAAAACCAAGGGGGAGATAGTTCTGTGCTTTTTTTTTTTTACTTCTCTTTTGCCTCCTGTCTCTCCTCAAGACGATAGAATCGAACTGGCGGTGTGGAAGGCACAGTTTACAGAGGATCCACTGCCGAAGCGAGACAAGCAAAGGGGTTTATTGTTTACAGTACGATGATCAGAAGATAGTAAGTGGCCTACGAGACAATACTATTAAGGTGAGAATGCTCCAAAATGGCATACTAATGGATTGCAGTGTCTGTGCTGCAAATAATAGTGTCCTAATTTCAGTGACACCTACTTAATCTCTTGTTAGTATCCTTGCCTTCGCCTCCCCTCACCCGACACCTGCACAGCATGTATACTTCTTTTATATAGCAAGAGAGGCACTTTTTTGTACAAACAGGCTTCACTAGCAGAGTTTTTGTCCATCAGTAATTACAGGCTATGTAATTACTGTGCCCTGTACCCTGGTGAGAAGGGTAAAACCAATGTTTGTAGTAAAGCTAGTAATATCAAAGATGTTAATGTATTGCACCAAAGAGCCTGTAGAAGACTCTTCAGGCACTGCTAATGGTGTTCTAACTGCACTGTGCATGATGTGTTGTTGTAAAAGAAAGACCAGTCAAACCAGCAGTTGCTGAACAGTGAAAACCTCACTGAGCTGTCTGGTTTTGGATGTTTGCTATCTTAGATCTGGGATAAGAATACATTAGAATGCAAGCGAATTCTCACCGGACACACAGGTTCTGTCCTGTGCCTCCAGTACGATGAACGGGTGATCATTACTGGATCTTCAGACTCAACAGTCAGGTGCGTTCTTGTGATTTGGAGCTTTCTGTTTGCCTCTAAGACTTTTGCCTTGCAAGCTGCCAGAATGATCTTTTATTAAATGTGTACTGTTCATTTAGTTCCATGTGAAGTATTTCAGCATATTTGTTCAGGAGTGTACTGTCCTTGCCTATCAGATGTCTGTGCAAATGACTGTCAAGGAGAAACGAGAACCTAAGCAAAGGCCAGTCAAGGTCAAGATGACTTAGGAAGGCCACCAAGGTTTTGCATGTTCTGGTACTCCCTGAGAATGCTTTACATTCTCCCTGAGAATAACTTTTTAATAAAAATTTGATTGAAGTTTTCAAAGCAATTCTGAAGATTTAGTCATCCATTTTAATGTAATTTTAACAAAAGATGCATGATTAGATCTCCTGTGACTTTTAATTCCATTTCAGCATGATGCTTCATTTCATTCAATCTTTCTAACCTTGCATTCTTTCCAGTCTCCAGCAAAAGGCTGGATACCTCACATCAGCACTTGTGGTGCAGGTCATGCAGATGTGAAGTCCACTAGACATACTACAAGATCCCAGGGAATCTGAGACTGCTATTTAAATACAGGCACATATGAGTTAGTAAATTGCAATATGAACTTGGATGTGAAAGAGCACGTCTGTCTTCTCCTTATTGTTATATATTCTCTTTTGTCAGAGCACAAACAGTGCCCATGCAGTGAAGTTACAGACCACGAAAAGCAGTGTCAGTGGCCTTTTCTGAAGCTATTATTCTGTGTTACTATGGCTGCAAGCTCCTTGTGGTTATCACCAAGTTTGCATGTAAACTGTGACTGTTAAACAAATAACCATTAAATTTAATTTCTGATGTGCAATGCATGCTGTCTTGTGGTGCTGCTACATTTTGGGGTCCTATCATTAGTAGGAATCCAGAATTTCAGCAACACCACCTGCCTGAATACAGTGTGGGAAATGCACTGCGTTACATAGATTGCAAAAGGAGAGACTGATTTCTGTAACAAAAACTATCATCTTCCATGTCAAGCCAGGCAGGCCAAATCAGAGACTGGCTACTTGCCCAGAAATACTTTGTTTCCCACTGTATCTGTAAATGCTTGTACAGACCCCAGAGGCAAATAGGATGCATCACTTTTTATCCTTGGGTCTCCTCAGGAAGTGGGGCTTCATCCAATAGTCAGTACAGATGGGCTCTTAATGCTTCTGAGGTCTCAGGGATGCACTTGCCCAAAGAAGTCAGTAGGTCTCCAGCTCCTGTTCAGTTTGGCAATCCTGTCTGCAAACTGCTCATATGTTAATGGCTCAGGTCTTTAGTCTGACAATTTTTCTCCTTTGCATTTTGTAATTGGAATGTAGTTTTCTTCCTCATTTATAGTCTATAAGTTGATGTACTTCAGCCTCCATAAGTTAGAAAATAATACATTAGAAGTCTTTCTCACATCCTGCCTTTTCTTACTGCTTGTCTTATTGGCAGAGGAAAGTTTAAACTTCTGCAGTGTCTGATGTGCCTGATGATACAGCCATTTTCTGTTCTCACATAGTATATCTGGGATACAAGTGTTACAGTGCCAAAGGAAATCTCTTTATGAAGGGTAAAAGAGCTTTGCCAACAGAATAGCCTAAAAGAAACATTTTTAGGGCTTTAAGTCTTCATTTCAAGTCCTAGAAGTTCTGTATGAAGCCTTTGTCTAACTTTCATCTTAAATTATCTTTCAGCTGAAACAGTTGGTTCCAGTAACATTAAATTGACATAAATACTCTGTCTTAATTTGGGTATTCAGCACATTCCTGGAATGTAGCTGTGCACCAGATGCGCTGCAGGGTAAATGCAAGTCATGGTGCAACTTGTGGCAATTACTTATATTTGTTTGAAAAGCATTATCTAGTCTTCTGCTTCTGTACAAATGATCCTTTGAGTTGGTAGTCCTGTGAGAGAGATCAAAAATTACACCTGTCACTGAACTTGCTTCTCCACAGGTCATGATTAAGTACTAATTGACTGGAAATGGAGTATGTGGTAGGCTGACACAACCAGGAAACATCAGTCTATAAGGCCATCAATCTCATACCTTTCCTCAGCACTAAGTTCCCTGCATTAAGAATGCTTTTTTCCTGGCTGGGTTATTTTTATGGTGTTAACTGCATTGCGGGGTTTTTAGCTGCTGGACTGTCTCAATGTCTGCAGAATCAAGGGGTTTATGAAATACATCTTTTAATGAACTATTTGATAGATGTAGATTTAACTTGTGGCGTTTGCTTCTCTAATGTTGCTAGAGAGTCAGTTACCTCTCTCTGTCCCTCTCTTGCTCTGCAGAAAAGCTACTGTACAGTTTCTTAACCCTCTTCTCTCTGATTTGACATCTGGAACTGCAGGGTGTGGGATGTGAACGCAGGCGAGATGCTGAACACACTGATCCACCACTGCGAAGCGGTGCTGCACCTCCGCTTCAACAACGGGATGATGGTGACGTGTTCCAAGGACCGCTCCATTGCTGTGTGGGACATGGCCTCACCCACAGACATCACCCTGAGGAGGGTGCTAGTAGGGCACCGAGCTGCTGTCAACGTAGTGGACTTTGATGACAAGTACATTGTATCAGCATCAGGTGACAGAACTATAAAGGTGAGGTGTTTCAGCAGCTTTTTGTTTGCAGCACTGGGGTATTTAATAACCAAGAACAGTGACCCGGCAGGGAAGATGATCCTTGGCAGTGATTACACAGATCTTCCTCTAGAAGCAGGGTTCTGCTGCTACTTCTTTCCACTTGTCCTTCCTCTGTTGAGCTTGCACAACTTGTTTACAGAGCTGTATGGCAAATCAGATCCAGGTACAGATGCGGTTGAAAAAGGACTTTTTTTTTCCTGTGTTCTTTTTCAACTTGACTACTCTATAATGTGTTTTAGCATCAGTCATTCAAACAGTTGTCAGAGGGCAGCATGGGGACAAAAGTGAAGGTGAGTGGACAGGAGTCACTTCGGTGTTACTGCTGTGATCCCAATCTGCAGCATGAAAACTGAGGGAAATCAAGATCCTGTGTAACTAAATCATAGCCTGAGAGTGCTAAAGCCTGATATTGGAAGCTAATTCTCAAACAGTAAGGCAAAATCCTTCTGTCTACAGTGACCTAAGCTGCTAACAGTTGCAGACTATGGTTACAAGTCATTAGAGGGCTAATTTTCTCAGTCTTAATGATAGCATCTTCAATTAAGAGCATTCTGGGTGCACCTATATAGCATACAGATACCAGCTTTTGTTAGTCTCTTCTTAATGATTTTGTCTCTGTGTGGTTCCTTCCCCTCTTCCTGTCACAGGTATGGAACACTAGTACCTGCGAATTTGTGCGCACCTTAAATGGCCACAAACGAGGCATTGCATGTCTGCAGTACAGAGACAGGCTAGTAGTGAGCGGCTCCTCAGATAATACTATCAGGTGAGAGACACTCCCCATTGCAAAGTTCTGTGCAAGTATTCCCTGGGTTGTGCAGAGGACAGACAACTGAAGTGCTCTTAGCCTTGTCACCTTTGAAATATGTCGTCTTTGGTATAGAACACTGGAAACTGCTGAAAAGAGATATTAGAAGCAAGTTTTACTGTGTTGTCTTTCATCCTCTGTATCTCAAGAGTCCCATACTAATCAACAAGTTGCATTGCTCTGACAGTTCTGGTGTATGAAAGAGCTAGTAAGTACCACTTTCTGTGATACCCTCTTGTGATATTTTAATTGGGCTGTGTGTCAAGTTAAAGGGGTCAGATTTGCAGTAAGAGGCATTTAATCCTCTGCAGAAATCCTGCTGGGCTCTTGCCAACTCTTCTTGTGGTACTTGGCACCTGGTTAAGTTTGGAACAGCTGGTTTAGAGCATGAAGTTCAGTTTGATGCCTTTTGCACTTCTCCAGCTGCCCTGGTTGCAATCTGAGATTTAACTCCTTCTGGTGTCATGAGCCAGGATTTCTCCCTACATCCTGCAGCTGCTTGCAGAGGGATGATCTACTAATCTCAGTGGGTACAGAGCAAGCTTGAATAGTAGTGTACTTGTGTCTTTGTCATTGCTTTAAGTAATTGTCTACCTTCTGATAAATCTTGAAAGCTGGACTGTGTAAGCAGAAACTCTTCAGTTTGCATGTCAGTAATAATCCTTTGGTTGACATCACCAGGTCACTGTGCCAGATTTTAGTATGGGGCTGTCTGACAGCATAACAAGGAGAGCTGGAACTTGTGTCTCATAATCAGGGGGAAAAGCGTAACAGGCATTGTGTAAGGGTAGCACCACCTACACATGATGAGAAGTGCACTTCAAATAGAAAAAAATAACCCTCTGCAATTGTACTATGAAACTTTGTATCAGAATTGGAGTAAGAAATAGTTAAATATTACAGCAGTTAGGGAAGGATCCAAAATATTGCTTGCAATGCTAATAAAAATAAATGTCAAGATAGTGATAATACTAAAGAGGAATAAAGTTACTTTTATACTTACATTGGACAAAATCCCTAGTTGACAGATAAATCGTGCTAGAATTTCAGGAATGTTTCAGTGAATCTTAATGGAAGTCAACTTTGGCAGCTGTGTGGGTAAGGCACAAGACTTACCTGGTCACATAATTTTCTCCCAGGCATTAGCAGAGGGCACAAGTCAGTGGAAGGGTGATAAGGAAAGGGCCAACCACTAAGTTATCTTTGTGGGTGGCTTGGTGCTTTCTTTGTATGCTTGATTTTAATCTACTGTAAAATGCCAGATGTTGTGTGTTGGCCTTTCAGAGAGGCTGCCTCCTGATACAGAATTTGAAGTTGGTTGTTCCTCCGTTGCAGGGAAACTTTTTTCCAAAATACAACTCTGAGATTTCCAATTTTGCATCTGTAAACATAAGGACACATGAACTAGCTGAGAAATTAGTATTTTTCTTCTGTAGGGAGATCCCATGTAAAAATGGTTTAGGTTTTGTTTTAGGCCAGAAATTTCACCAGTGTAAGAGGACACAGCTACATAGGCACCACTATTATGGTGTCAATTTCCATCTGATGGAAACTGGTCCGTGTCTTAGCCACTGGGGCCAAAGTTCTTCATTGCTACAGACAAGCTAGGGGGGAGGAAAAAAGAAAAAAAAAAAAAAAAAGATAATTTAGAGCAGGAAAATAGAATTAGACTACATCATCTTGGGTTGGTTTTTAAACAGGTGGTTGATTTGCATGTGTGTATTCAAGCTCTTGTGTATGGACACATGCAATCTGATACCGGACTGTTCAGATAACATTCTCCCTAGGAGATGGGGTTTCAGGCTCAACTGCTTTATGTACATATTCTAGCTCTGCCAGGACTTCAAGTGACTTAAGGGCTGAGAAAATTGCAGATCTCCTTCTGCTCCCAAAGCTATAGGAAGAGAGAGTGGTAGAGTTTTTGACTGCATATGCTTTGTGGGGATTTTTTTTTTAGTTAGTTAGTTAGTTCTCAAGCCTGAAGAGTTACCTTACTATTTGGTCCTTTGACTATTTAAAGAAAGGCATTTTAGAAGGTTATCAAATCTGGAAGATACCCTTTGCACCAATTCTTCTATGACATTCTGCTCTCACATAGTAGTTATGCCTTTTGTGCTTGAAGGCCCATTTCCCACATGGCTAAAGACATGATCATACCTTCTAATCCCATGCAGATTCAGGTAAACCTCAAACTGGGACCTGAAAATACAGGCCTGAATTAGTGTGATGCAGCCTTTCAGAGCTGCTGGCAATCTCAGGATTGATGGCAAGGAATGGAAACACATGGCGTGAAGGTTCCTGGCACAAGATTGCTCTTCAAACCTTTCTGCACCAGTTCACTTCTGGCATTGTCCATCCTGTTCACAGTCATTTAGACACTTAACGTTCTCTGACCAGCCAGAGTGCCTTTGGCTGACCTTTGCCATGGAGTTGCTTTCTCTGACCTTGACTTGTGTGCTTGTAGTCACGTGAAAAATATTGGGATCTTCACAGACTCCCGAAAGATCAGCTTCATGGATTCATGAATCATCTGTTGTTCCTCCTTGTTCTCAAACATGTACATAGACAAATCCTTTCCCAATTCTACAGTGATGAAAGTTCTCTTCATTCCTGTTTCTAAATTGAGAGTGACTTGTGGTGGCAGGACAACTACCACATTATCCACCAACCTTGGGCACACATCCACTGGATCTAGATTCTTCCCTGGAGGACCTCAAGAGTAAAATACATGAGAACAATTTACCTTTTTCTTTGTCTCTTAAGTAAAAGTGACCTGAGCCCTCAGCAACTGTTCTGCTTGAGATGTGCCACCCAGAGAAATTCCACAAACCATGCGTATTTCTCACTGCTGTGAAGTTCATGTCAGTCTGGACACTAACTGAATGAGCATTTAAGAGCATTTGTGATTGCTTTCTTTCAGCTGTGTGTCAGGAAGTCACAGCAGATAGCAAAAGCTATTAAAAGATTTCTGTATGAGCAGAGCATGTCTCAGCCAGAGGTGGAACATATCACAGAATTTCAGTTCTTGTAGACAAATAATCTTTCTTTGTCCAGGGTAATCAGGAGTCATGTTAAAGAGCTGACAAAAGTATGGAAAGCAGATAGACTTACTTCTTAACTATTTCAGGCGTTTTCAGCATATTTTCAAGGTAGTGTGCAAGTATAAAAATGAATGCATTTTAATTTATTCTCCATGTTAAAAGTCCTTTACAAAGCCCAAAGCTCTGAGATAGTTACAACTGAGAGAATAATGTATTGCTGGGCTTCTTACTGGGACAGTGTGTGCTGGTTTTGATGCCAAAACTATTTTAAATTATTGGATTCTTAGAAACAGCAGAGCGCCACAGGAATTATTTGAAGACAAGAAGAAAATGCATTACAGAATCATAGAGTGCCCATTTTAGCTTATGCATTAGGTGCCTAGATTACAGAGTAAACACACCTTCAGTGGGAGAAATGACAAATAAAAGGGGCTCGTTCATTCTCATACTTTCATCACTGTGTTGATGTCTTAATTTGTCTGATGGTAGCCTGCAAATCAGAAATAGGCATGTAGGGGTACTGAAAGGGGCGTGTGCCCTGTGAAGGTGATCTTACTGGTTGGAACCAGCTGCCAAGGGGATTGGCAAGTCTCCCTCTCTTAATGTCTCAAGGCAGGATTTTTATGAAGAATCGACTTCAGTAAAATAAAGTTTTAAGGCTCACTGTGAAGGTAACTGGGAGGTGTCCTGTGTTACTGGAGCAGTAGATACTACACACAGGTGGTCTTTAAATTTCTGGATCTCTGACTCATTTCCCGTGTGACACTGTAACATGACAGGGTCATGTTGAAAACCACACATCTGCTTAATGACAGGAAGAGGAATGGTGAATGTAGTTTATTTCTTCTTTGTTGCTTCATCATAAACTTTATATCCAAGTTTCCCTTAACTACATGTAAAGACCAAATGTTTTGTTGCGATGGTCAAATATTTAAAAATTCTTAGTGTTTTGTCCTACTGTCTTCCAGGCTGTGGGATATTGAGTGTGGGGCATGTTTACGAGTCCTGGAAGGCCATGAAGAGTTGGTGAGATGCATCCGCTTCGACAACAAGAGGATAGTCAGCGGGGCATATGATGGGTGAGGCTGTCAGTGCAGTCATCCTTGTATCTTCCTCTCCATCTCATTATCTCACATCCCACTTTGTTGTGTCTCCTTTATAAATATTAGACTCCTTGTCTGTCATACCAAGAGGACCTTTTCATGGCGAGTAGATCAGGACCATGCTACAAAGTATACTTTTTTTTTTCATCTTTTGAAATAAATCAGCATTATTTGATGTGTCTGGTCCAGGTCTTTAGCTTATAAGAGTATCTGACTGACTCACCCTGAAACTACTTCTAGCTGAACCACTGGTAAGAACAGTCTTTCCTATCTGTGGTTATTTCTTCTGAACAATTTGCCATTACAGACTGGTGTCTGCACTTCCATGTTTCTTAGTTCACCTGCTCTTTAGATGGTTTACTTTGTTGACAGCATTTATTTTTCTCCCATTAAGCTCTAAAAGTTTTACAAAGGGGAAGTGCAAGAACCGTGTCTCTAGAGCAGAGGGATTGCTGTAATTTTCCTTGAACTGGTGTATTGGCTAAGCTGTACTAACAGTTAATTCTATTCTATGAGCACTTGCTCTTTTCTCATTAACAGAGCCATGGTGTTTGTCTATGTTTCCACTACTAGGAAAATTAAAGTATGGGATCTTGTGGCTGCTTTGGACCCCCGTGCTCCAGCAGGGACCCTCTGCTTGCGAACCCTTGTGGTAAGAGCTTTTGGTAGGGGTGGTGGAGGGACCAGAGAAGTGGGTTTGATCAGTGCTATCTTGAGACATGAAAATTCAAGTCAGCTTATCCTCAGTCTGCAGGAGCTAGAAATCCTTTCTAGGAGTATGGCTTCTTTGGGTGCCCAACGTTTTTTTCAATGTTGCAAGCTATAAAGCATTAAAATGTAGAACCTATGGAGATTTCATTCACTTTAACAGCTTTGTTCTGTGATTTGAAGTTAATAACTAAATCCATTTTTGAGAGTTGTCCTTCTGGGGTTCTATGTGTCAGTGGGTTTACTTTTACCTGTGTTTACTGAATGATGTACTAGTGTGTTGTCTGAGTTGCTGACACGAAATTCCTTAAAGCAAAGGAGTACATTCTGAATTTGAGGAACAAGAACAAAAATACCCTTGGGATTTCTTTTAACTGGCTTTTGGGTGTTTAAGGAAAGAGAAGGTAAGGACTGAAACAGACAGTAAAATTGCATCATCCTCAAACAGGAACTACTACTTTAATGCTGTCCATTGATACTTAGTGCAGGTCTTATGATGTTGTGGTTAAAATATTACTGTGTGAGCAGTAACAGCATTCACAGTCATGCTTAACAGTGGCTCTGTGCTGGTCTTAGTATAATATGGGGAGGTTGTGAGAAAAATGCCAGTACAGCCAAAGCTGTGGGATGCTTCCTAGAAGCATTCCTCCATCACATTCACCCCAGAAATCTTGCACTGTTGTTGCTCTGACAGAACATGCCCTAGGGATAAAGGAAGATCTCAGTCTAGTACCAAATTCTCATTGAAAAAGAAGTACTAAATTAATTTATTTTTTAGATAAAGAATGTTTGAACAGTCTTGGATCTGGTATACATTAGGCCTTTTCCTGCTGTGGCCTGTGACTGCAGTCTGTGCTCTAAACCAAGATCATGCTGAGGCTGTCTGATTCTCTAAAAGCCTGGTTACCTCTCACCAGTTGAGCCATGGTAGCTGGCCTTCTGCACACTCATCATCCACCTGAGTTGCTACTGTTGCTGTAGATTTCACTGAACTATTTCCCTTCGCATTTGGCACAGGGTGTGGGGGTTACTGTGACTCAGCTGACAGGCAGTAGATCATTAAGCTGTTCTAACTCTTTTCCAATCGTGTATTTAGACCACTAGCTGCAGAGTAAGAGTCTGTAAGAGCCTTGGATGCCTGCAGGTACTATGTTGAAAAGCCTTCTTGTTAGCCAAATAAAACTGCAAATAGTTTCATGGCTGAAATTCAGAAAAACCCTTTGTCATCAACCACCCAGTTGCAAACTATGGAACAACTCTGTGCTCATGAGCAGATATCCTGAGAGTCTCAGACTTCAGCTTCATATTAGCAGCATTCCTG